GAGAACAGGATGACATCATTTTATTTCACAAAAACCAACACCGAGAACATGATAACATCATTTTATTTAACAAAAACCAAAACGGAGAACAGGATGACATCATTTTATTTCACAAAAACCGAGAACAGGATGACATCATTTTATTTAACAAAAACCAACACCGAGAACAGGATGACATCATTTTATTTCACAAAAAACCAAAACGGAGAACAGGATGACATTATTTTATTTGACAAAAACTGAGAACAGGATGTCATCATTTGATTAACAAAATCCAGAAACAGAGAACAGGATGACATCATTTTTTTCAAGAAAAACGAAAACCGAGAACAGGATGACATCATTTTGTTTTACAAAAAACAGAGAACAGGATGACATCATTTTATTTAACAAAAACCAAAACGGAGAACAAGATGACATCCCGAATATCAGTATAATATAAACATGTACTATTAACATTACAATGATACTACATTCCATAGTTACATGATAGAAGATAAAATATACTCATATATTAGCAAACAAGCACCAAAAAACGACATAAAAAATGTCAGTTGACATATACACATGTACTCCATTGGCAACTAAATATCAACCCATACTGAATGGCAACACTCATATGTCTACAGTACACACCTGCTAAACAGAGCATACAGATTGAAAAATAATAGCGCATACAGTGTAGTATATACACACACACACAGGTCATGTTCCGCCACTTTACACCAATGTATGACGTATATTATTGATCACATATAGCACAATTGTCATCATATCATTATCTATCAGAAAATTTGGTTAACAATCGATCATGTCATCACTTAGATCATACTTAATGTTACCAGTTAGATCTCATAAAATCTCGATGTGATGTACAGTCGAACCTCGTTATCGCGAACGCGTGTAATCGAAGACCCCGCTTAATTCGAAGCATTTCCCTGCTTAACTTACACAAGACATCCGAACTCATTTAAAGCAACCCTCGGTTATCTCGAAGTTTTTCCACGGTCCCATGGAGTTGAAATAACGACGTTCGACTGTATTTGGATACATCATCATGAGTAAGCACCAATATGTTTGTATGCTAGTGGAAATATAGCAATATTTATTGTGTATTGAAAGCAAAAAACAAAAACAAAAAATATGCTGTTGATCATAGGTGGCGCAGGAGAAGTGATAATTCAGAATATTTTAGGTTAGCTGTTTTCCAAGGAATAACCATCACAAGGAAGGGTATACTGGAATAAGCTTGTCCGTCTGTCCGTAGACGAACATTGGCCGGCTATGCATTTGCTCAGTTATAAGGGAACTTTTTTAATTTTTGTGAGAATGACTAATAGAATATGGAAATTTGTCCTCTGAAGTGATTTTGCAACCCGCAGAGTTATTCTGTTCTACATGAAAATAAGCACACTTTTTTATGACTATGCGTTTTGCGAAACATCCGTTTTCCGATATAGGATGTCTGAGCATGCACATCATGTAGCATATGAAGACAAATCAAATATGCCTTTTTAAAAGCCTACTTGTCAGTGTTGTCTTGTGCATTTAGCTATACTTATATCACTTAAACGATATATACATTCATGAATCACAGGACGTGGAATAGCTATGATGACACAAGACACTCAAAGTAATTAATATGTAAAGTCTCTGAGTAAGCTGGTATAAGGTATTCTTATGGTGATGATTCTATACCAGTAGAGATAGCTTAATCACAACGGTTTTTAGATGTTTATCGTCAGAATAATATGGTTATTGGATCATTTTAAGAGCATCGCCATCCCAACCGGCAGGTTTATTATTATTATCGATGATCATCAGAATTGTCAATTTCAGCAATCATGTTATAAGACATTTTAAGATAACTAAGGGGAGGTAAGTCGTGTTGCCTTGAGTCATTAATGGAATTAGAAAAGCTATAAAACAGGTGAGTGAAACGTAAAACAATTATCAAATTTTAACGGATATGATTTTTTTTTATTTATTCAGCCTAGAGACATAATTATCAATTCGTTACCACCAGGGATGAATGTAAATTTATGAGAACTCTGCAGTTGTGAAACATATCAATTTTAAATGACATGATAAGGTCGAGAGATCCACTACAGATAACTGTAGGATATTGCTAAGTCATGATCTCAATTACGTCTGCTGTAATATGTGATCTGTTTTGTCAGTAAACATGTTCTTATTTCATTTGTCATACATGGCTTGTCTTGTGGTCTAATAGTAAGTTTAATGAGGAAGGTATGTGTGAGTGGTTTTTTTTTTTTTTTTCTAGAAAAAAAACATCATTGATAAAAATCACGTACAAGTACGTTTAGTCCATTCAGACAATGGTCGCTATCTGTAGGGATTGATACTTACATCTAAATCATTAGTGAAATGTTCATGAATATTGGTAACGGAAGTGTTGGTAATACTGTGTGGAAATGTTACAAAGCTTTCAACATTATATTTGATACGTATTTCGAGGTATTACTTTTTTGGAGTGACCAAGGTTACTTGGCAGGTGTCATCGATGAAACAGAAGACGCTTACTCTTCCGGAACACCTGGTCTGATTCTCTTTGTACTAATACAGGAGTCTTCTTGTAAATCCTTTTTTTTTTTTTTTTTTTTTATTGTTGTTCATGTTTTGCCCTAGTTTTATTGAATTCGGGTTGGATTATGATTATGTTGCCATGTTGGTATTTTCTTGAAGTTTTTCGTGTAACGAGACGTGTTAGTTAACTTAAACATGCTCTAGCTAAGATTACTTGATACTGTGTTTCAATTTTCATTAGTTGGTTTGCAAAGAACTCCATCAAGCTAAAACACTGTAATCTTTTTGAGAAGGAATATCGAATCAATACCGTTCTAGTATGATCAATGGTTTAAGATATACCACAGTTTGTTCAATATTTCAGTAATATCTTATGCTTTGGCAAAACGCTTTCTGGATCTGATGGGGCCAATCCTTTTAAAATCAACATGTAACAAGAATTCCCAAAGAACGATACAAAATGTGTTGTTAATTCTAACAAATCACTTCGAATTAATAAGAACAGGACAATAACAATGAAAATACATTTTAGTGTGATCATTTCTGGTTTTTAGATAGCTAAGTCAATTGGTAATCTTCATAACTTAAAGTGAAATCGTTTTATAAATAGGTATAAATATGTATAGTGCATTTTATGTTAGGATCATATGTCCCCTATATGCTTCCGTATGTGACCTTCTGTACTAATCTGTATTGTTTGTATAGGTGATCTCTAATCAGCTGTTTCTTTTTTTATATCGGTGGTCTCTCTGTTGGAAGCTGAAATGACAGAATTAAATGTTTACATGAGTTTCTATGAAATGTGAATTTTATTAATGTTGATTATAACCAGGAAAAATCCTAAACATTGATCACTTTCCATCTGCAATAAACTATTTACAAACTCGACACTGTTGGTAGACCATTTGTTTCGAGGTTAACACCATACTATAACGCATATGAATGTGATAGGTTAATTCATGTACTTCTAAGATTACCAGTTATGTCAAAGGTTTGATATTTTACTGAATTCTGAGATAATTGCACCTCCCAATCCAGGTTTTGACCTTTTCTCTCGATCATTTCAGATTTATCTCAGTCGCCTCTTACAGCCCATAACATTCATGGGCAACACCTAACACCTAGGAAAGAGTAAAGAGTTTAATGACATATTACAAAAATCAGTAATTCTTACTATCGAAAGACAATACCGTAGAAGGATCGCGAGAATGTGTGAAGAAAGAACAGCTTCAAAATGGATGTCATGTTTGGGTACAGGAAGTTTTTCATGATGTTCAAGAGTTGCTTCCCCTTAGTTAGTAAGGCACTTGTTGCTCGATCTGGTTTAAAACATTGCGTTGGCATGGCATCTATATGATAGAGCTTTTCTTGGGTTGGGAAGGGATTTGGGTCGAATAATTTCAAATAAATTAATTCGTAGTCCTCTTTACAGAGGCAAACGCACAACCGAAGATCAAATATATGTTAACGATAAAAGAGGGTTACGGAAAATAGATCTTTAAAAAGTTTACCTTATATGAGAAACACAAAAAAGGAAATTAGTGTAAGCCTTATACTGTGCGATCAGTGAATCTACATCAGCAAGTTAAACCATTATGATCTGTATATCACATATGATCTTGGTTAAGGGAGTTCAATATCAGTTCGCCAAATAATATTAGGACTTGCAGTTATTTGATAGATATATACATTTTTCGAAATGTCTGCCTTGACACTACTTTTGGACATTTATTCCTTTGCTGAATCATTCTATAATATAACAGGATGGAGTGTTCTGCTTGGTTCTTTTGACAGCATATTTCAGTGTGGTAGCACTATAAATTTGCCCCCAACAAACCCAGGTTTTCAAATTTACTGCAGGGAGAGGCCAGTGTCAAAAGTATTCTTAAGTAGGATTCACACGATTTTGCCAAGATCACCACTTGCTAAAGCAGACTGCATTTTATACAAATGGTGGTTATACGTCCTCCAGGACAATACCGACTGTTAAAAGTAGAGGAAATGGTAATTTTCATCTTTAAAATCTTTCGTCTGTATAAATGACAGGATTCTGTTCAAAATTAGTGAAGGGTATTGTAGATGTACTTTGTGGGCCAGGACCGCGGGTCCAGTAGGGGGAAATAGAGGTGTATGTTGAATGGTAACTGGCCGGATTGATCATTTTTACAAGCGATGTGTCTGACTACAGGAAAGTGCGTGTTTCGTACGCGGATATAAGAAAAAAAAACATGAAGATTTTTTTTTTCCAGAATAAATAAAGCAAATGCAACACAACAAAGAAGCAACCTGATCATACTTGGTTGTATTGTAAGTTAGTAACAATGTGTTACTGTTTCTGCAAAGGATATGACTGGTCCTATTACTGATAAAGACGGAAGTGTTGTACTGAGAACTTTATTGCTAACACTATACACACACAACACACGTTACAACGTTTGTTTACCCGTCTTGCTTTTTCATCGGTAAGGATTTCATTTGACCGTTACTAATTTTGCCTTGGATATTGTACACGGATGATTGATCTAAAATGGATGGTGTAAAATGAACTGTCGTTATTGTTTGTAATAAAAGGTGAGTGCTTCTGTACTTTGTTTCTGTATACGTTATGAGTATAACTTGTACTTACATCAATTTTACAGTTATAGAAATTGAACATATTCTCAGAAAAAGAGTTCTAAAATGATACTGAAATGCTGTTTGAACATGAAAATCAATTTTTGTTTTAAATAAACAATAAGGCTTAGAAAATATACTAAGCATGGATGAGCTTAACTGCATTTATAGTTATGCCTTGGAAACCATAAAATTCGTCTTGATTTTATTGCTTACTCATGTATTGAATCCGAGTAGAATTACAAATGACCAGCTTGTTTGTTTCCCCGGTGTTGATTTAACAAACAAAAATCATGAATGCTGATGGAGGTATCAAATATTTCGCTGTGGGGTATCACTTTTCCTTTTTGGTATAAATATGTGTTTTATTGTCGTTAAGATTCGAATGGCGGGTGTCTGTGATGAAGTGGTAAAAATACTTTTCAGGACTCGTAATGCTTTAATCTCCTCTGGTGTCTCCCTGCTAATTCATTCACAGGTCAACCCATTTCATCGATTTGGAGTTTTAACTAAGATTATAATGGCATGTTGTCTTCTTTTTATTATCTCTTTTTTCTGTAAACTGCTTAAAAGACTTTCATAATTAACCATATACCGAGAGTCCATAAGAACGTGGTCAATTGTAGAATTCTTCTTTGTTTCTCTCGAAATGTTCCTTCTGTTTAGGATCTTAGATGTTGTAATGCAATTAAATTAGATGTGATCATATCAATGAATATCTATGTCTGCTAGACATAGTAGTATAAGGTCTTGTGACGACATTTATCCTTCAAACTGAATGCTATTAATTTAACAAATATCATTTGAGCTGTCCGTTGCCATTATCAATTAGACAGCAGTTTAGAAGAAATTCAGTTCTGCACAAGCTAAATCCTTCTATATCGCAGCTCCACAGAAACGTGTGTACTCGGCTCGCATACAATTTACATCAATAAAAATTCTTTAAATACCCATATTTGTAAATAAGACCTTAATCATTTTTAAACATCCTATCTATTTCATTTGAGACCCTAACATTCCTGAATACTCTGATAAGAGACTCCCATAAAAGTCTAATATTCAGAAGAAAAAATATGAAATAATCAACTACATGATACTATAACGATTAACACTGGTCTGTCCATCCTAACCAGTGTCTGTACAATTTCCCGTGAAGGAAGTTCATCTGTTCAGTTTGTACCGCTATCTAAGTCATATTTCCCGTTTACACGACCGTGTTGAAGGATAGGCTACAGGTCACTGTCAGTACACATTTCTTATAGTTTCGTAGTGTCTTACACACGAAAATAATTCAATACGAGATTAAGATATATCTAATTTTTAAAGATATTTCTAACACGAAATACTAAACACTGATTTTTATCAATGGTTACCTAATTGAACAAAAAATTATTCCATTTCCTCCGTATACCTCACAGAGTGATCACGTAGTTTCTATAGATGGGGAAACTCACACTGGGTACTAAAAGACAGGTTACAAGCACTATGATGCTGTTCAAAATAGGATAGAGTCTTCATTTTATGTGTCGTAACCATGTTGCAAATTGATAACGTCATCAATTTCGAGAAATTGATAAAGGCACAATGGATAGTTGTCATAACAACTTACACAGAGGTTGAGATAATGTTGACCTATGTCAGATTCTGGTATTCGTTTCACTATGGGAGTTTCATATGCCGTAGGGATTTGCATGGAGACAAAGAACATAGTTAATTTGACCAAATGTTCTGGTGAGTTCAGTATCTTCTGCGTCTTGGACGACATCCCCTGTTGATTAATCAATGAAGTAATGTCAGACCTTCTCAGGTAAGACCACTCTTACATCACATAACCACGAAACCACCGCAAGTAATAAAGAACAACGGGCACATCTCACTTCATTCCAGATATTGAAATATTTCCCCAATAAGGTCAACATGTCTATGTAAATATGACGATAACCGCTTTTATCAGCATGTATCTTTGAGTCGTGCGTTTTGATGTAGGGTTTCATTTGAGTGTTCATGATTGACAAATTTATTACTATTTACAGATTTAAAGACAAACTGGAAATGACCTATGCTTCGCTGAAGGCGGTTTTAACTGTGTTAACTTTCACAATTTACTGCAGTAAGTATTGCTTAACGTATTATCACTTATTCCTTCACTATCATATCTGACCGTGAAACAATTATTATCATTAGTTCCTGAACATTTTCAAATGTCATATGTAGGTTTCCCTTGGTCGCTAGCTGTGCGGTTTCTATTTTTGTACAAATCATGATTTTTAAAATATTGACGGTGTCGACCATGTTAGACTTTGATAATTATGATGTAGGGTTTTTTTTTACATAAACGCTGCATAGATCATTCTTTCATCTCAACTGCAGATTTCTCTTACTCTCTTGTTGTTTATTTGTTTGGACATTTCGGAATCATTCATTGTATTACTTCTTTTGTCAATTTATTTTGTGTGGTAAAGTTGCTGTATAACAATCATTCTACTGATACAATAAATATATTAAGAGTAAGATATAAGTCGCATAAATCCAGTACAGGTCCTAGGATGGTGGGCGCCAGTATTATTTTGGATCACTTATCTAAGCTGTTAAGGTTGTAGCATAAAAATATGTGCAGGAACCCATATTTGTGCTTTTAGATAACAATAAACCAGAATGCATTTTTCTATTACATAAAGGCGTACATGTATATAATGTTTGATAACCGTTACAATGTCTATTCGTGTCTGAATCGCTGTATATAAATGAAATATGATCATAATGTTGACATGTTGATGTAGTTAGAAATGTTTCTGGGTTTAAGATGAATAATGTTGAGTTAGTTAAACTACCACAGGAAAATGATAATTTGCTATACTTCAGCAAAATTTATGTGTTTATACCAAGGCCATATCTGCTGTTGAACCTGCTACGACTATGTTTGTAACTGTTCAAACCATTGGACATTTATTCTGGCAAAATTGCGAAACGCACAATACCAGCAAAACTTTTTTTGAAAAACTTAATTTAAATGCTGTCAATATTTATTTGTTTGTTTTTCACTACGGTTCGAAATATATCACAACCTAAATACTATATTTGATTAATCAAATTTTTGAAAAATATTGCTATATGTTCATAGCAATATTCTTTTAATAAGTGGTTTCATTGATTGTCACTTCTGTATATATATCTTACTCTAAAATGGTTAAAATGTGTTATACACTTGTGTCTTTTGTACATTTTTCATTTACATACAAATACTAAGACCTTGGCATACGATATGACATGCTTTTCAGCCATTCCGTTTGCTGTAGGATGTTTATTATCTTTACTGCTGTTTTATATATTTCTTTATGATTGCCATTTTTCTGCTGTTGTCTTACACAAAATTACAAGCATCAATGGTCCGTACGACAATACGCAAACAATTAAATTGTCATGGAATCATTTCCATGGTGATAAGTTTGAATATCTTGCTTAGGGTTTTTCCCATCGTGAATAATTGCATTAAAATCTATGTACAGAGTCTTCTTGTAAGGACAGCTGTTGTGAAAAAAAATACCGATATTTACAGTTTTCTTTAGAGGTAGACAATAAATAGCAAAAGCATATCGTAAGATTGTACTGAATCACTGTAATGTAAATTTCTAATATATATATAAACACTTATCAGTACAGGAACACCGGATCAAAAGTGTTATGGTCGTTTTCAAAAGCGCTATTGACTTTTGTCTTTTATGTCATTTTCAAATTAGACAATCTTAAATAAATATTATGTTTAAAAATTATCTAACTCCCTAAACAGCTGTTTCACTACCTGATTTGAAAGTGTAAACTGATTTTCCAAAATTATTAGTTGTAATTCTTAATCGATCTCTCTGATTTCAACCGGCCATTTTCAAATGATCTCTTGGAAACCACCGCCTGGAATTATGTTTTTACATATTTAGACAAGTATTGTTCTTGGTATGTAACCGTTTTAACCTTGTCCATATGTTACGTTTGATGTTTGAAATATTTCTGTAACACTACGTATGCTTTATCATCAAAACACTGTTTTAGCAAGTGGCTTTTCACCCAACGGAATTGAAAGAGTTTTTGCCCTTTCCCATTTGTTTAACGTGTTAACAAATCCACTCCTTCAGTCATCAACCAATGTCTTTTAAACTGATTAGCTTTTGTGATAACATGTATCGTGATTTCTCTGTAGCCTTTTTTGACAAGACAATAATATCATTCGTTTAAATTTAAATACAATGGTGTATTTCCCTTTGGCATCGAACGAGTGTATATTGTGTAGCCCTTGTTAAGCTATTTTTTTAAACACATACTATTCTTATGTACAAATGTTGTGTATTAATTCCAAATTCATATGTGCCATGTTTACATAACTTGTATCATATTGATTGTTTACATAAAAACCTGTTTATAATTGTTTGTCACAATTTGTGTAGATAGTGCTAGGCAGATTTTTCTAGAAAGCTCTGTTACTAGAATGACCTGTATGTTTCAGGAAGTTTCTAAATCTTGAAAGGTCGATTATTAGAATTACCTGGGTGTTTCCGGAAGTTTCTAGAGACACATGTAAACAAGCTAGGTACCTGCTAGTCTAGAATCATCTAGAAATGAACTTTCTAGAAGCCTTTAGTGTATATAAACATGATGGAACTGAGCCTGAGCTGCATTTTTGAAATATTAACGCTTTGAGTAAGATTACTTTGAGACTTCAGTCTGTGAAGCGTGGACTTTTACTGTGATTCAGTGATAGTGCCTTGTGGACTTGCACTTATATGTACCCAACGAGAAAAAACTTCTTGGATTATTCTTCGGATACCCTGTTTTCGGAACAATCTTTTGTGAATTCAGCTTGACTTGGAGAACTTCAATCGCAAGATAAGTTCTGACTTTAGATTAATTAGTGGCTTGCTCTGTACATCATCACAATATTTGTAACTTTATTGTAGAATTAATTTGTTGTTATTAAATTTTTGAATTGTAAACCTAGCTGTTGGGTTTCATTTGCTGTACGTTAATTCCGTAACGTAACACTATTTTGTTTTTGTTTGTAGTGTTGGAAACATAAAATCCCTTGTGCTTTTTAATTTTACCGGATTCCCAATGATGACCGCTTCTTCTTATCATTGCTGTTAGTTTGACGTGAAACCATCAGCAGAATTAATGAAAGGAAATGGTGATGTAAAACGTTAGGTTCACATTTTATGTTATATCATTCAAATGCATCAATTCTTTTTATTTTATTTTTTCAGTTTCCTGCCAACGACCACAATCTGCTGACACATGGGTTTTGCTCAACAAAGACCGTTATGTATTGGTCTACACATTGACGCTACGACGAACGCCTGATGTGTCATGGTGGAGGAAGTCTATAAAATCGGGTAGCCAATACGAGCTATTGAAACATCCAGCGATGGATAACTTTCACGAATCTGTGACACGTGGCGTCGTCGAAACTGAAAGTGGCTGGCCATTTGACGTCAGATTAGAAATTTCAAACATCAATAGCAGCATGTTTGGGGAATATAAAGTTGAAGTCAATGGAAATTCCACACTGACACGATGTTTCACCGTCAACGAAATGATTGATAAAACACTGGATGGTACGTTCTTCTTCGACTGTTATTTTTTGCATGCATGTACGTTTGAATTTTAAGTGTGCCTTTTAGTTATGGAAAGGAATCCAATTCCAAAACGTGTACGTTGTGAGAATGGCTCATTTCTGCATGGGGAACACAAAAATTGTACCGAAATAGATCAAGAAAAGGCTATGTTTGATTGTGTTCATGGAAAGATCGGTTTTTCCTGATACGAAAGTGCATGTAATGGAGAACAAAAATACTTAATCCATGTCATTTTTCAGCATTGTTACATGCTCTTTTGCTTTTGATAATGCAGCATGTTGTTTCTTTCTAAAAACTAACTTGAAAATGTATATTTCCAAACCCGCAAACAATTCATCAAAATTGGGAGACAATATGTTTACTGATTCCAAAATAATGAATTTGTAATTTTACAGACTTAAGTGAAAAACAGGCTGCTTCAGATGAAGGTATGGGCATTGCATCAGCATCCCTATCCTAGTGAAAATATCTGTTTGATTCTGTTTGTAAGCACTCTACATTATAATCCCTATGCTTTCATAGCCATTATTTATATTCATACATTTTCGCTTGATATGTGTTTAGAAGGAGTAGACGGCTTTAACAATAGAAAGGAAACATAGGCTCTGTCCATGAAATCAAAGGTGAAAAAAAGAGAAAACAATTTTTCTTGCATAGATTGATAATGTCCTAAAATGAGTGTGAGTATAAGAGATTGTATTTTTATTTAAATAAATATATAACCTTTGTAGATTCTTCCACAGTTTTAAATCTTTATTGGTTATTGATATGACAAGGAAAATTGCCATTTTATATAATAAATTAATCTACGTTTCTCTGGTATGGATTTTATTGCTATTATATATTATTATTGTGTTATTTTTTTCCCTTTCATACTTTCCGATCTCGCGTTGTCGGCTTGTGCTTGGTAACAACACAACATATTAAAAACAATACACATACCCCTTTCATATTTCTATCTTTAATATTACGCATGTGTTCTGATTAAAGATTAAAGCAAAAAAATGGAAAATGATACTTTCAAAATAAACATTTTTTCTCTTGAAGAAGACCGGTTCGACTTTTCTAAAAGTCAGGTTTACATAGCGGTGGGCTTGGCAGTAGGAATACTGATGGTCGTGGCGCTCATATCAGTTGTTATAGTCATCAGGATAAAGACGACAAAAAGACGTATGTACATTAAAATTAAACTTGTTACTCTCACAAAATAACTTAACAATATAGATTATTTTAATGTATTGGTGGATAATAGATCATTAAGAACCAAATATAACGTTTATAATGCATTTGGTATCGTCTATAATTATGAACATGGTACACATATTCCGTGATCAAACAAACGCTAGACTGACGGAGAAATACATTTTTACTTTTCAAAAATTGATAGTGGTTGATAACATTGAAATTTGGTTAAAAAATATTTCGAGAAATCAACTAATATGGTTGACATCTATTGCAGGTCGGTCAGAATCACGTGGGTGAGTATCTTACATTTTATGTACAAACTCCTATACACCGAATCGAATTTATTGATAAAAATAAAAGTTGACACAGACTCAGCACAAGCAATTTATTGTTCTTCTGGATTTGTTCCATGTTTTGTCCAAATTCCATATAAACACAACTATTTTAGTTGATATTAGATAGACGATTTGTTTAGCTATCAGTTTTACTTGTAAAATAATTTTGAACAACAAAACATATAAGGGTCTGACGTTTACTATGAGTATTTATTGTTTACAAAAATAAGGGCATAACACTATAGTGTGATGTTTTCAAGTGTGTATACACGGAAGTTACAGTTCGCGGATTAATTAGTTGTTACAATGTAGAATACAGCTGCGATCAAAGCTCTTCGGGTGATTCTCATTCAAGTATAAAAATTAACCCTCCAACCCATTATTTTTCGAATGCAAATTTGTAAGCAGTTTATGGTAAGACATTTAGGTATATTCTGTCCTCAGGATATGATTCTGCCATTCCATTAGGTTTATTCAAAGTATGTAACAGGGTTAACATCCAGTTTCCAGCTGGTATAACGTTGGTAATCTAACATGGAAAAGAGGCAATACTTTGATTATTCAACACTCACCCTTCAAAGCAAATCGTCATATTTGCTGCAAAACAAAAATCCCGATTTTTTTTCCATTTCCAATGATAAGCAACTTCGAAATTATTTTGAAATATTAAACTGAAGTCGTTTGAATTTAGTGTTTCAAATTCTTGAAGATCAAAATTGCAATGCAAATGTGTTTCGATTTCTAGAGACATACCATCGGATAACAATAGCGGGGGAATATCCATATCTTCACATCACTACACTGACGTTCATTCTACCACCGGTTACGAAGGTTTGGGTGAAAAAATAGATAATCACGAGTATATGACGACACGCATTAACACTAAAGGTAGGTTTCTATGAGTCTTCAAGAGGTTCAGGAAATAGCGTTTTATCTCAAATAACAAATATGATTTTATTTTGTTAATAGAATATTGCAAAACATTTAAGGAGAGAGTTACAAAGATCTGCTTTATTATTCTTATAAATGTCAGTATATTCTTATTATGTTTCGTTTTCAATATTACCTGAACCGTAATGCATTTCCCCTATGTCATTGCATTTTACTTGGAATTTCGTCCAGAGCTAAATATTCTCCACATTTTCTCACCATTCAACAATGCTTTGTTACGTAGTCTCCAAGTAAATCTTTCTTTTAGTCATTTTTAGTAGTTTTTTTCTACATGTTGTCAGTAAGATAACGTCGTATCGGGCGAGGACACAGTGACATTCATTTCCTCAAACTTTTTTTCTGTACAAAACAAGAATTAGATACTCTTTTCTAAGTGACAAGGTGGAACGTCAGCAAACGTGCTCCCGCACTAGAATTTTGAAACGATGCTTCCTTGACCCACACCACCATCCTCCCTAGTCCAATTTCATTTGTACTTTTTTAAAGGTCTCAATGGTATATATATATTTGGCTCATTTTTTTCATTTTTTTTTAATCCACTTTTGAGTTTATATCAAAAGTAATAAATTGTTATTGTATATAATTATAACAGCTAATAGCGGAGCATACAATGATTCAGTTGTACACAATAATGTGGCACCAAAGACGAAAACTGGGAAGAAAACCACGGGCGCATTTGGTGAGGATCAATTTTCTTAATACTATTATCTTAATAAACCCCACGAAAGTTGGCCATATTCTTTCAACATTTTTGTTTCAAGTTTCAACAATTCATTCTGATAGTGCCTTTATCAACCATCTTGTATCAGGATAACTTGTCTCTGTCAAGTAAACTAGCACGTTAGAAAACATCTACAACATCAGTTTCTCAACTTTCACTTTTGATTCTAGAATTAAATCAAATTTTTGTCGGAGAGAATTTGAATTTATTCTGTCCATCTACTTTCCTTTGTTTAGATTATAATATTGAACATGTCTATTTCATTTTCAGCCAATACCACATACGGTGAAGCGAATCTAATTATTACATCTGGTATAAATCCTACAAGTTTGCTAAAATCTGTCCCAAAATTAACGTACAAAAAGAAACAAAATAAAGGTATGTCAAAGATTTATTTACAATGCCTGAAAAATACATGTTGATTAACATAAGTATATTATTGTGTTTCAAATGAAGGAAGAAACAATACATCAACACAGACCTTTTTTCTAGGCCTAACCAGGTTGGAAATTTTGAAACTAGAAATACAGTTGAGGGATAACACAACGTTACACAATGTCTGCACGATATGAAAATTGGACGAAATAAGCTAACGCACATTTGCGATTCTATCGTTGTTGATATAGATTTATAAATGACTTAGAAATAAGTGTGGGATAAGGTTTATTTATTTTCTAATTATATCAACTATATATCAAGTATATTTCCTAATTAAGCCATTTCTATATAGGTTAGGCACTTATCAGATACACACTGAATAGTTAGATACACTCGTACTTATCTTTACAAAAAGCCATACATGACCAGCCTTAGTGTACGGATACACATTATGTATACATTATATATCTAAACATTAAATGGAGCTCTCTTTATGTCACACCAAAGAGTCATTTAAAATCGTCAGAAAGGAAAGTTCATTTTCATTACTCTCATTTTTCATTTCATGTAAACAAAAAATATACGCTCAGGCCAATTTTAAATGTTATGTTAGATACAAAGGCGACTCTGCCAGTACGGATCCGGATCTGTCAGGTATATACACGTAAACGGGTAAACTTTTGTTGCCCGAGGCATCGCTACTCGCCACTTTATGAGATGTGAAACTATATACGATAAGACTTATTAATGCACGTCCAGCGTTCGAAAATTGTCGAATTGAAAATTACTTTTATAATGTCGATATTTAGTAACAGCTTCACGAATTTCCGTTTAATTTTCAATCCGTAATAATAACTAACATTTTTTACAAAATCACACAAAATGTGCAATCCTACCCTATACTACGCGTGGTGTGTGCACCAAGTACGCACGAAGGTTTTGGTGCGTTTTGCGTTACCACAACTGTATCTTAGTGAATTATTTCTGCGTCCCTAACTGGTAGTATGCATTGCAGTAACATTCTATTCTCACAAGCTCAAAAGTCGAATATTTTTTTTGTTTGTTTATATTTCATAGCTTTGATCGATTTATGAATATACATTTGTGAACTACATCAATTCCTTTTTATCCACAGGAAGGCGATTTTCCGACTCTACTTCAGATAGAGAGGATTCATGTACATACGAAAATGTAATTAAAAAGACACCTGTCGGTCACAACTATGAAAACTGCAACCACTGTAAGTAAACGCAGACAAAACAAGTAATCAAAATCATGGTTTTATTTTCTGTGGGGTATATTTTCACTTATCGAAGATAAAGACATGACAAACACAAGAAATAAGTTTTGATTGGATTTATTGGTCACACCTTTCTAAACGGCCGTCGACCCAATAAGCCAGTATGGGTTTAATTTGACAGACCACAATCAACAAACAATCAAAATCACTAATCAGCAGTTTCTGGATACAGTTCCTCACTTATTATTGTGTGCATTAATGGATTAACGGATTGAGGGTGACCAACTCCCCGTTAATCACTAATCAGCAGTTTCTGGGTATCCGCTCCCCGCTTATTATTGTGTGCATTAATGGATTAACGGATGGAGGGTGACCAACTCTCAGTAAATCACTAATCAGCAGTTTCTGGGTATCAGCTCCCCGCTTATTATTGTGTGCATTAATGGATTAACGGATTGAGGGTGACCAACTCCCCGTTAATCAATGATTAACAGTTTCTGGGTATCAGCTCCCCGCTTATTATTGTGTGCATTAATGGATTAACGGATTGAGGGTGACCAACTCCCCGTTAATCAATGATTAACAGTTTCTGGGTATTAGCTCCCCGCTTATTATTGTGTGCATTAATGGACTAACGGATTGAGGGTGACCAACTCCCCGTTAATCAATGATTAACAGTTTCTGGGTATCAGCTCCCCGCTTATTATTGTGTGCATTAATGGACTAACGGATTGAGGGTGACCAACTCCCCGTTAATCAATGATTAACAGTTTCTGGGTATCAGCTCCCCGCTTATTATTGTGTGCATTAATGGATTAACGGATTGAGGGTGACCAACTCCCCGTTAATCAATGATTAACATTTTCTGGGTATCAGCTCCCCTCTTATTATTGTGTGCATTAATGGACTAACGGATTGAGGGTGACCAACTCCCCGTTAACCAATAATTAACAGTTTCTGGGTATCAGCTCCCCGCTTATTATTGTGTGCATTAATGGATTAACGGATTGAGGGTGACCAACTCTCCGTTAATCAATGATTAACAGTTTCTGGGTATCAGCTCCCCGCTTATTATTGTGTGCATTAATGGATTAACGGATTGAGGGTGACCAACTCCCCGTTAATCAATGATTAACACTTTCTGGGTATCAGCTCCCCTCTTATTATTGTGTGCATTAATGGACTAACGGATTGAGGGTGACCAACTCCCCGTTAACCAATAATTAACAGTTTCTGGGTATCAGCTCCCCGCTTATTATTGTGTGCATTAATGGACTAACGGATTGAGGGTGACCAACTCTCCGTTAATCAATGATTAACAGTTTCTGGGTATCAGCTCCCCGTTTATTATTGTGTGCATTAATGGATTAACGGATTGAGGGTGACCAACTCCCCGTTAATCAATGATTAACAGTTTCTGGGTATCAGCTCCCCGCTTATTATTGTGTGCATTAATGGATTAACGGATTGAGGGTGACCAACTCCCCGTTAATCAATGATTAACAGTTTCTGGGTATCAGCTCCCCGCTTATTATTGTGTGCATTAATGGATTAACGGATCGAGGGTGACCAACTCCCCGTTCATCAATGATTAACAGTTTCTGGGTATCAGCTCCCCGCTTATTATTGTGTGCATTAATGGATTAACGGGTTGAGGGTGACCAACTCCCCGTTAATCAATGATTAACAGATTCTGGGTATCAGCTCCCCGCTTATTATTGTGTGCATTAATGGATTAACGGATTGGGGGTGACCAACTCCCTGTTTATCAATGATTAACAGATTCTGGGTATCAGCTCCCTGTTAATTATCAAGCAAATTGAAAATCAGCTATCAAATATCAAGCTGCACATGCATTCAATCAAACACAGATCAATGATCATATATAAATTACAATAAATGAAATGTCCATACTACTATCAAATAGACATGTAGCACTTAATAATATTGAATATGAAGTATGACAATTCTTGGCAGATACCACAAATAGTTCGAAACCTGCTTAAAAATAACTTATCTGCGAAATATGCCATAACCTATTACGACAATGCTATATGTATACTCCTCATTTGAACAGTTGTCGATGTTTTATTCATTTCCGACAAGCACATATCACAACCGCTAATGTCCACATTCACCAGAATTCTTTATCCACTCCCTCATTCAAGATTTGTTAATACATAATCTGAAATTCAGAATAAAAGCACACCAGCAGTATATTGTAATAAAGGGTCGGGAATGGGTGGGGTTTTATGAAAATTTTGCTTCAAAAACAATATCTGATACTTATGAACTTGAGAAGATCTGTCCTGAATCGCCCGCCTAAGAAACCGGAAACAGATGGCTACAGCCACAGGGAAGATAACCATCGCCAATTGCCAATCGGGACAGAAACAAATTGTAGATATTAATGGAGTAACATCTGTGTCATGTAAGATAAAATGTGGGGTACCTCAGGGGAGATTATTAGGTCCTCTTCTGTTCTTGATATATGTCAATGATATGCAAATCTACATTGATTCTAACTGCATTTTGATGTTGTACGCAGACGATTCTGCTATACTTTTTTCTCGTCTAAACTCAGCAGTAATATCGCAAAAAAAGTCTTTGGTGTTAGAGTCCTGTCAAGAATGGTTAGTGGATAACAAGCTTTCTCTACATTTAGGTAAAACCGAAAGTATTATTTTTGGCCCTAAAAGAAAATTGGATAAAACAACAAATATGAATTTTAAAATATCTTGCAATAATCATTACATTGAAGTTGTGAAGTGTATAAAAATATCTTGGTATAGACGTTAACGGTTTGCTATCAGGTGAAGAAATGGTAGATTCCATTGTTAAAAAGTAAATCAACGACTAAAATTTCTCTACAGAAACGAGCAATGTCTATCGTACAGGTCAAGAAAAACTCTTTGCTCGGCATTGATTCTTTGTCATTTCGACTATGCCAGTGCATGTTGGCATGAAGGTTTGTCAAAAAAACTAAAATATAAATTACAGGTAGCACAAAACAAACTAATAAGATTTATTTTTAATATTCAAAATACAGTCGAACTTCGTTAACTCGAACTCGGAAAACTCGAAGACCCCGTTTAACTCGAAGCACTTTGTCGGTCCCGGCAAAATCTTCTCTTTATTCTAGTAATCAAAACTCGGAAAACTCGAATTCGGAAAACTCGAAAAACTCTGTTAATTCGAAGTAAAAATTTGGTCCCAACAACAAAACATATACTGAATATGATCGGAAAACTCGAAGTATAAATTTTGTGCCGGTCAATTACATTGCTGATGCGCTACGCCGTTTTGCAATTTTACCGACAATAGGCTTTACAAGTGAATATTAATGAACAATACTGTAATTAACAATATTCATGTTTTAGAAAAGTGTTTATTGTTATTTAATTGAATGATAAAAGGTAACCGTTAGATCTTATAATTGATAGATATCGGCGATAAAAAGTGAAGTTCTACTCACATTGCGTAATTTCCGTGTCTGTCAGCCATAACAAACACCGACCTGTGTATACACTCAGTGAAGCGGAACTAAGCTATAGAAAACAATCACAACACTGGCCCGGTACTAGGCTTAATGTTTTTACAGGAGTACGCATGAAACGGTCACCTGTGCTCAATTAAACCGACAAATGAGTGAAACAATTATTTAATTAGCGTCGAAGTACTTAGGGCAGAATTAGTGAGGAGATGTCATGAGTGTCACATAGGGATAAAAGCAGGGGTGTTTCTCACCGAAATCATACCCGTTTCGAAATGTCGAAGTCAATTGAGCAATCCAACGAAGGACCCGGTTTATCCGGGGGGATACTTGGATCGATTGATAGGGCGAAGACCGGCGTGAAGAGGAAGATAGAGACGAAGACAGTCGAGACAAGGTACAGAGCGATATTAGCCGTGGAAAAGGGAGACAGGTCACAATCTGACATTGCTAGAGAATTCGGCATCCCAGCAAATACTTTATCGACATGGTTGAAAGCAAAAGAAAAGATCATGACTGCATACAGCAACGATGGTATAAGCCCCAGCAGAATGAAGGTAAGAACAGCCAAACATGAAGACACCGAGACTGCGCTACTTAAGTGGTTCACGCATGCCCGAGACAACTATCTTCCGGTAACCGGCCCGATGCTGAAAGCTAAAGCCAAGGATCTGGCCGAAAAGATTGGAGAGCAGAACTTCGCCTGTAGCACAGGGTGGCTAGACAGATTCAAAGACCGACACAACATCAGCTTTAAGAAAATCTGCGGCGAAGCTAAATCTGTAGACATCGCCAGTGATGCAATGACAAAGTGGGCCGACGACCTCCGCGTCATTAATAAGCAAACTGCACCTAATTTAATTATCAATTCTGGTTTTTCAACGATCAAGAACAAAACATGTTTGCTTATTACCGGAATCTACATCAAGCTCGTATATAGCCAAAAAGTGACAAAAAGTACAAGGAACGTCAGGAACATTAAAAATCTTTGCACCAAAACTCATGAACTCGGCTATCTCGAAGACTCGGATAACTCGAAGTATTTTCGTGGTCCCATCGACTTCGAGTTAACGAGGTTTGACTGTAGGCACAGTATAAGATGCGGTGATTTTTTGCGTACAAACATGTTAGACATTAATTATAGGGTTAGTCAAATCAGAATGAATCATATGTTTAATGCTTTCCATGAAAAGGCTTCAAACTAAATGTATATTTCCTTTTAACAAGAATCCATGTCTACAAAATACTCGATCCTCGGCATATAATTTCAGTCTCCCATCAGTACAAGGTAAAGAATCTACAACATTCTACATTACAGGCGCAAAAGAATGGATTTATAAATATCACTAGCTAATACATTAAAGATGTAGCAAACAACTTATTAATGATTATGTATAACATGTTATATGTGCCATATTATCATATGTTTTGTATACAAATCTGTACATCTTTATCCTGAATAAATTTGTTATTATTATTATAATACCGGAATATATTTTTAGGTCTCGCAACACCAAATATTTGTGTTTCCTTTAATTACCGCAATTGTGTTTTATTACACAATTTGTATTATGTAAATGGTAATGAATCAAATACTATAATCAAATCAAACACATGTTTTAATGACATTTCTATGTCAATCCCTTCGTGCGCAAATGGATCATGTCTATATAATTTTAATAAATTTTGAAATAATTTTTCAAGTCTTATTTCTGATGTTGAATATTGTCATTCAGATACAACGTAGTTTAAGTGTATGATATTCTGGTAGCCAAAGTGAAATGACAAGATTCTGAAATCTTTTTAGAGCTTTTATTTATATACAGATATGTTGACTATGCAAATGCATGCCAATACTGTCGATTACATCCCTTTCCATGCAAGAAAATGATACAGTTATACCAGAAAAATTGAAATTGGATATTGAATATTGTTCCACCTTATCAAAAGTGGGATTTTATAATGGAATTGAGAGGTTTTTCTTTCATTTTTTGTTTCAGTAAAACGAACAAAATCGGCACAATAATGGACTGTCAAGGATTGGATGTGTTGTATCATATGTTACCATTGACGTTTGAAAGATTTGCGGTATGAACGTTTTCGCCTTCTGAGAAGAATATTTTTCTCAAATCTTACTGAAATTGTTGTAAATGATAATAGTTTTTAATAAGATAGTGTTCACTCATATTGTACACCAGCTCATTTTTCTCGTTAATAATTGCCATTTCGGTGAAAATTCCGGTGTGACAATATGCAAAAGTATAACACAATACTCTTGATTTTAAGCTGATGTTTCTAACACTATTGAAACATAGACGTAATATCTTTATACGATAATGCTGTCCCAGATAAAAATGTATTCTTTTGGTTACGATTCGTTTTGATTTATTTATTGGTCACACTAACAGCTGTTAACAATTAAAAAGATATTTCGCTTTCCTAAAATGTCATGTGATACCCTACGCTATTCAAGGTTATTTTGTCACAGGATCAGGTACTTGTTGTTGATAGTCTGACGGGGTGATCATCGGCATTGTAAAATATCGTTTTATTTATTTATTTATCTATCTAACTATCCATTTATTTTTTTACATTTACTACGGTCTTTTTATTTCATTTTAGCCATTAGTAGAACTTCGTTTCGCTGTTGTTACGTTTTCACATTAAAATAGACCTTATATTTATATAGGTTGGTAATATACGTCTACGCCTCGTGACACGTAATGCACATGTTCTGGATTAAAAGAGAATTCATTATATATTTTGGTCAACTTTATGCTTTTCTGTTGTCTTTTTTGTTGCCTTTAAAGAGCTCTTACTGTATTTTCAGTCGTTGACTTTATTTGATGTAGGGTGTCTTAAATTGCCTCGAGATTTCATCATTGTGCGGGAGCGATGCCGGATAATTGGTCATGATAATTTCTCCTTTTTCACTGAGTCATACTATATTTCCGCGTATTAATATTATTCAAATCATTAAATTGCCAGACAAGGATTGTTAAGTACAGTGGGTTCAGTAGCTTGTTTAATTGTACGTGTATTTGTGGTGGTTTTCTGTTAAAACAACGATGCTATTGGTATATATTTTGTCTATATTTCATCGAGTCGGTACTTCTTAGGTGCCTCTGGATTAAGCCCATCATCCGTTGTCGTCATATGACCTCGCTGTTTAAACCACAAACAAGCACTTATCTGTTTATTCACCAATTGTCCTAGCGCTGAATTTTATTGTATATGAAATTGTATCTGACAGCTTGTTTTGAAATTCCTTACCGTATCAAATACAGAGTCTAAATACTTTTGTGTTTAATAATCTAGATGACAAATTATAAGTTGTATCAAGATGAAATGATGAGAAGTATAAATTTTATGTATCATGTAATAAGGAGTTGTTTTACATTATGTAGTTCTATGTTAGTATGCGTTTGATATATTTATGCTAGATATCGTTTCGGTAATAAACAAACATAAGAATGAATATAAATAAATAATTTAAAACTTTATTACCCATTCAACTCCAAAATGCACCATATATACAAACAAATGAACTGTGGTTGATACAATGTAGAAAGAGATGTTTAACGTTATACTAAATCACACACGTACCATCAAGTACTCACTTACGTGAATTACACAGACATCCCCTTAACTACACACACACACACACACACACACACACACATATATATATAGATACATGTGTAGGTTCACTCATACATTCTCTCCAATCGCATGCAGTGTTTTCTAGTAAAACTAGAGAATGACTAGGCATCGGGTACAATTGGAAGTTTGTTTTTATACAAAATCATTTTGTGAAGGTGATTTATATGTTTATTTAGTTTGATTACTGACAATGGTATTTATTTTATATACAGGGGGCCCATACGCGCTACAGTCATACTATTCCGTGGAGATGTAAAATTACATCGTCGAAATCTCGACGGTATATATACATAGAATTGTCAATATATAAACGCGTTAATCTGAAACGATACAAAACATGCTGAGAAATATTGTTTTATCTGAATGAATTGATTACTTATCCTTCCAGTGGAAACATCTAAATCCAATTTCTTACTGTTAACAAGAAAATTTATCATTTTCTTTGAGTTTTGTGTTTCTGATTGATGAGATGGTAAAATTGTATGGTGGTTTCACGGATTTTGACATTTTTACAACTTCATATTTTTTTTTCTAAATCATCAAGCGCATGTTGTTACAGCTTATCCAGGACATCAGCATCACACAAATCTTATCGAACTCCCTTTACTCCCAAGGTTTATCAATTCATATCGTGCTATTAAGGATATATAACCGTGCATGTTGCTAAATAAAAAAATGAAATGTAAAAACGATGTGCTCAAGTACAAAGTGAGATCTATATCTTATAATCAACATGCAATGACTCGTATGTATTCAAACCAAAACTTAAATTTCAGCAAACCTTTTTGTAATGATATGTCTACAATATCGAAAATATTTCGAAACCTCATATTTTGAGGGTTTTTTTTTTCAAACTTGGGCGAAATATTATTTCAAACATAAAATGTTTCTGAAATATATAGGTCATCACATTACAAATGCTAAATAAATTGTTATGATTTTGTTTTGTCTTCAAGCGTTTTGGTTTTTCATATCGTTTTATATAGAATATAGAAATAAAATGGTAATTTATTAGATGTATATGCTTATATGAAAGGATATATTCTGTTTCATAGATTATACCTTATCGAGTTTGCGTTATCGATCGAAACATCTGAATATAATTAGACATTTTTTAATGAGATATTACTTCATTGACAGCAAATACACACTCCTTTCAATGGTAAGATGCCAAGTACTATTTTACGTTACAAGGATTTGATACCGATAATAAAATATCTTGAAAAAGTCTTATTACACAAAGTTTCAACATTCTATATACATACATGTATAGAGATGTAAAGTTGTTTCCCAAATTAACGTTATGAAACAAACAGTTTTATAAATATCGAAAAGAGGATTTAAATGATCATTAAAAAGTAGGGGAAATGTATCACAAGAGTTGTTTTAAACAAGTCATTATCACTAGATCAAAATCACAACACGTTTTGTATGACAAATAGAAACAAAAACACCAACAACCATTTTTTTTACATTATTCTAACAACCCTGACAGACAAGCAGTGTATCATAATTTGGCCGTGATGAATTATTTCCAGTTTAAATAATTCCTTCTTAGCCATGTCGCTTTACAATAAACAAAAAAAAATATTCAGAGAAAGTAAAAAAAAGAAAGAAAAAAAACTAATTACATGCCATGTTTAATATAAAGTTTAAAAATTAAGAATTGCAGTCGTTTAGTATGATAGTGGCACGATAAGATTATATTTATCTCCTGAAATTGTCCGTTATGAAGCTGCGTGTTTTAAGCTCACATATTTCACAATTGAAAATTTCATAATAAAAAATGAACAGTACATAAAAGCAATCCATCACTAAAATGTTCAATTAATATTATCTGCTGTAACATCGAAACTTTCTCAAAAAGAGTAAGAAATTGCTTAAAGAAAAAGCTGACAACGTGAAAAAATACATTGTAACAATAGACGCAATAATAACAAGTAGTAAATAAACCAATTCAATCATTCTTTCAATAGAACAATAACTAACAAGATTCGAATTACAGCTAGTCTTTGTGTAAACGGATCATTCTAACACGAAACACTAATATTTTAACTAACAACTATCACAAACAACAGAAACGTTTATAGTAACAACACGATAACCTCAGCACCGTCTGGAGAAAAATCCCCTGATATCCTCATATACCTACTGTCGCGATACCAAATACATACTGTCGCGATACCAGATACATACTGTCGCGATAATGTCGCGATACCAGATACATACTGTCGCGATACCAGATACATACTGTCGAGATACCGAATACATACTGTCGCGATATCAAACAACAGAGAGAGAGAGAAAAAACAAAGAAAAAAATACATATCGATGCTTTTCAAAGATGTGTTTCCGCTGTTTTTTGTTTTATTGGTATTAATATGTTTTTCTTTTGGTACACTTTAGCATGTATTTAACACGGCAGCTGTATTCTAAATCTATCTATACACTATACAACATGTGGCAAGTCTACCTTCATATAGAAAGTTCTTTGGATAATGAACTATTTAGATTACAAGAATGTGATGCCATTTAATTCATTTATTCCGTTCATCATATGTATTTTTGTCATTAATAGGATAAATTTAGATATTTATTTTCTTCAACAATGCCTAATCAAATGAATAAGTATATATTACACATGTATAATGATTTTTTTTAATGTAAAACGGGACTTTTCCGTTAATACTAACTTTTTTATAATAAAACGACCCATAATTTCCGGATTTTTTAATCAGTAATTATATCGTCGATATTGCACTTCTACCTTAAATATTACTTAAAAGACAACATTTGTCAGAACACCAACTTTTCTCGGAAGTAAAACTTCCGCGGAGATCGGGTAAGAGTTAAGTCCCTTCATACGTAACTTCAGTTGGCAAGCAAACGAAGGTAAAGATGATGTACATCAGAACGTTTTTTTTACAATAATATAATTTGCATGCAGCTATACACATCTTCAAACGACTGATATTAATCAAAGTTGCATATTTGATATGTGAAGTTGTGAATATTTTTAATGCTAATTAGACGACTTAAAAACTTTCATTCGCTCTAACGCACGTCATACCATTCACAACATGGAATGATAACGGAATCCACCATTTGGCATAGAGTTGTATATAAGTTATCACGATGTCCATAGGCCCCTGGGATCCCTTGTTCCTTAGAGTGAATTCTAAAACGCATTTTTTTTTAAATCACACTTAATATAATCTAAACAGAAATTATATTTGCGTTTGCATTTAAGATAACCACAAGTAGCGTGAGATATCATTTGTGTTTATTTCTTGCTTATTTCTATTATCAATTGCTTATTTCTATTATCAATTGTTTATTTCTATTATCAATTGTTTATTTCTATTATCAATTGCTTATTTCTATTATCAATTGTTTATTTCTATTATCAATTGCTTATTTCTATTATCAATTGCTTATTTCTATTATCAATTGTTTATTTCTATTATCAATTGTTTATTTCTATTATCAATTGCTTATTTCTATTATCAATTGTTTATTTCTAAAGAACATATCAAATTAATATGAATTTTGTATGTATTTATGTATGAAACGTTGAATTGTGTTATTTTCTCTACGTCCTATGATAATTTCTCCAATTTCTTAAATGTTTAAATAAAATGACATTATTCAAAGTTATTTATCAAACACCAACTAGATCTACAAGGTCAAGGTCTATTCGAGTGTTATCTTTACTGTCGATAAGCAGATAGCAGATACCAAATCAGTATAAAGAGATGAGAATTAATATGTCATTTTAAATTCAAACTTAATCAAATTCAATAAAGATGATAACGACACGTGAACATATTCTTAATTAATATAAAAATAATGTCAGGCAGAAAAGAAAGAATTACATGGAAATCTTTTAAAAGTATAGAGACCAGGTGTTCCGGAAAGGTAAGGGTCTTCTGCTGTACAAAAATGTTGAGAAGATCTTATTTTTTTCTAAATACCATGTAACTATTCCTTATTGGTATCGTGTACCACTACATCAGTAAGGATTGAACTTTTGAACATCTCGAAGATAACAGTTCAAAATACAGACTTTATTCAAGGAAAACAAATCATCTTTTTTAAAAATTTGTTATGGGTTATGGGTTATGGGTGAAAACTTTGGAAAATTGCGACAACTCTATTGTATTGGTAAGTTTGTTTGGGTAATTTTGTTGTCTTGGAAACTAACCGGTTAATTTCTATACGACACACTCCAGGAGCTAAAGACTGAAACAAAATTGATATAGTAAACGAAAAAATACTTTTTATTTTAACTGTAAATTGAAAAGGGAATCGTTCATGTTTTGAAATGGAAAAAAAGAAGAAACTATCCTTTATTACAATAGCATTCAAACCGACAGTTTACATGGATCTGAAGATGTATTTTCCTCACCGAAAATTAGGGACACCAACATGTGAAAAGTAGTGACAATATTTTCTTTAAAAAGGTGTGTTCGCTCCCTTACATCAATCATTGCATTTACCGATAAAGTTGTGGACTTACTGGATTTTCCGAGTGTTATCTAAATATTCGTTAAACAAGCTTAACGTATACATATTTTTTTTAAAAATCAGTAGATTGGGAAGAAAAGTCGAAAAAAATATGTTTATCTTTGTTGTGATCAGTTAAAAATTAAGAAGGTATAGCATGCGAATATTCTTTGGCCAAAGATGATCATACAAACTATTTTGATCGATTTCATCGCATTCTTTGGCTCTGAAACAGAGCATTAAAATTCCTAACACTCGTATAACAATTAAATAGCACAAGAAATCGTAGGTTCCGTTTTCTTGTTGATGTCTTTTGGCTTTTTTTACTATTTCCATATTTGGGCTTGTGCTTTGTCAATTCTCCTCCAATGTTTCATCACACAGGCACATAACACGGGTCATTTTCACAAATACTTAATGGTTCATAGGCCATTGGTATGATGTCTCCGGTCGTATAACGTAATATACGATATAATACACCAGAATACAATGGAATACACATGACTTAGTATTCCTAGATTTTACAGGACTATACGAAAAAGCCTATCAATGCTACTAGCTTATGTATTATATACAAAATGCAAAAGGTACACCAAGGTCTGAAAATTCTTTGCTCTGACAGTTGAAACTGTATATAAATTCACATTCTTAATGACTGGTGTTTTTGAAGCCAAATCTTGTGTATGAAATGCTAATAACTGAAACGTTAAAAGTTTAAAGAAATTTAAAGAATTTCTAAAATGTTTTCTGCTTGTTTATTAGGAAAGTATAAGTTTTTATCATGGATGTTTACATGTCATTTATCGTCAATTGAATTCCATCTTACAGTTCACTTTTAATTGTATTATGAAAGTCCACGAAATGTTATTTTGCCAAAACGTTAATTTCATCATGAAATTCAATAAAAAGTACTTTTGCAAGACTCCAGACCTCGACATACCAGTCAAAGCACTAAGAATGATATGATGAAAATTTCGGTCAACGGAGAGTCACTATTTTGTCATGAGAGGGATCTATGCATTACTCCGATTCAACACAGCTACGTACGATTGTTCTTCATTCAATTTGGTGGCATAGCTTGCACGGACGGGTTCAATTGTCATAAGTACCCACGTATCAAGTGTTTTTTGAGGGAGATATTGAAAACCGATATAACGGGTATCAGACTACTTTGACAGGAATTTGCTCATTCCTCCTACAATTCACGCTAATTCTTTGCGGGTATACGTTAACACCTAATTGGGTGAGCAAAGCAGCTAACAAAGCTTTTGAGTTTAGTTCAAGTTAGCCATACAATTAACCATAATGATTTCAACCATGGTTAGAAAAGTCATTCAAAACTTACGATCTGGACGTTTTTTAAACATCAGGTTATGGCCATGAAATTAATCATTTGTCAAATATTTCGATTTCGAGTTGTCTTCACGAAAATACTGAACTTAATCCTGGCTAGCAATCAGTGACCGGATTTCAGGTGGGGAAAAATAACCGAAGTCGAGTTTTTACTTGCGATCAAAAGGCCTCAAGATGCCGTTCAGCCTTTCAGAACACTTGTATATTTGCGTAAGTGGATATCACTTTGAACGAAAAGCCTAACATGTCACTGTTATTTTTGATTCCGTGATTGAAAGACTGATTTATAGAAACACACCATGGCGCACATGCATTGTTTTCCTTGACACTTAATAGGACGGCATTGGCGTTGATATTTGAATAAAGGCAGAAAATGGGTATGTTGGTATTCCTCGCATTCCATTCAACCTGATTGTTCTGCGAGATGTGTCTGCTGACACTTCATCTCCGAAAATCACACAACAGTAAGTTCTGGTCCATCACACACGTATTTGAATAGTTACATCAGTTGAATATTACATGGTAAGAGTTTCTGGTCATTTCTGACGAAACATGATACCTTTCCGTTGTAAAAGGAGCAATTATTTTGGCTGAATGTTACTTTTGGAGTTATATCCCTTTGGGGGTCGAGTATTGTTCCTTTAAACTGTCCCATAATCCCTCTCATGCACAACGTGCGACCCTCCGTTACATAGTCATACATCTTCGCCCTCTGTCTCGTGTCCATTTAAATTGGAGCGTATCTGTATAGATTTTTTATTCCGGTACATGTCCCACAGTCCGGCTACAATTTCTGCGACGACGATGTCACTCGAGTTTTTACCTATCAAGCGCAACGTGAAAACACCGTCATGTCTTAGATATTCCAGAACGAAACGCCCAGCAAGCTTCCGGTCCGGACCTGTACCGAGTCTGTCCATCAGTTTCAAAAATTTTCTGATATATTGTATACGTGTTGTTGGAAACATCATATGCCAGATCCAGTTTGCGAAGCTGTAACAAGTTACAATGGCTACAAATACTAACCAAAACCACATAAATATGTAGATTTTCTCATTAAACAAGTTGATCGGTAATACACATTGGACGGTATACTGCTGTACATTTGTAATTTGTCGAATCTGGAAGTCACACAGCGTGACTCGCGGAAAGCGATGAGAAGCTGTCCACTCCTTTCCGTCAATGAGTTCTTCCATGACCTGAAATCCATACACATGATAATCCGTCCCCAGGAAAGAATTGAGCATGAATAATTGACCGATACAATTTGCAATATATAAGGCCTTTATAAGCAGATATATAGCAACAAGGTAATTTCCATACCTTCTGCCACATATAAGAGATAATTTGGCAGACAGGATATGACGTAACGTCACACAGCACCATCCTCGTGTGTCCCTTTGATTATCTAAGCACCTGTCCATATGTCGGACTAGATACTTTATAGTCCGTATGCGATTGTCTGGACTTTCATATTGTGCATCTCCAGCCAGACTCACAATCCGATCCACGTTTATTCCGGAGTTCCCATTCATTAATCTCCAAATGATACAAGGACAATAAAAAAGCAAAGCTTGTACCAAAAGCATCACCGGAACCCATTGGTAATAGTTCAGTTCTTTCTCTTTGCGCATGTGCAGCTGCTCTATGGGTGGTACAATGTCCTTCATAGGGATGTAATAGGTGTTGGAGATCCAACAGATATTGTTTGTGTAGTCTACGTGGGTGCTGGGGAACTGAGCCGGACACCAACACCTGATAGGATCTCCCACATATTGGCGGGCACTGACCACTACCGTGAAGATTATGAAAATACCTGTCGTATAGAAATGGTTGACACGATCCACAATGTCGTCATCGTTTCGGACCTTAACGTTAGCTACCCGACCGACCGAACCAATAATACTGTCCATCCTGAAAAATACAAAACATAGGATATATTAATAACCTCGGGACAAAGGTAGGTACAGGGCATTAGAATGATAAATATGTTCGTGAGGATATTATGAAGCATTTTGAACGAAAACACTTTTGTTCACCAATTTCAATCATTCGATAACCATAACTATTCACGTTTCGGAAAAAAACGTCGTTGCTGAATAAAGACAGGTGACTGAAACAAACTGCAACGGAAAAGCGAAATTAATCTAGTCCTATTCATCTACAGCAATAGATGTCTATAGCAACATTATCTCAATAATAAACCGGCTATTTATCACAAAATGTCTCATATTTTTTAATTGTATATTTTCATAATATACTAATGGAAAGCAAAACATGTTATCTTTATTTTATTATCTTATACATTTATTTATAACTGCCGCTTTGTTTTTAATAGCTCTTCCGTAATATATAAATGTACAACTACTCAGTATAACGCCTATATGGCGTTCGAAACACATTGGAGAATACTTTCTCAATCTGTCTATCAGTCAGTCCGTCTGTCTGTCTGTTTGTCTATCTATCTGTTTGTCTGTCTTTGTTTCCCACTTTTTCCTTACTATCCTCTCTCTCTTTCACACACACAAACCTTCTTTTTCTTGTCCTGCTTCCTTTTCGACCCGCCGTCCCTCTTTCTAATACCATCTATTTATTTACTCCCTAATAACCTTTCAATAATTTTCTTCAATTGCATGTTATGTACAACATGTTTGCACTAATGAATGTAAGCACATCCACTCCTCTCACATTTGATCATATCTTAGCTGATGCATTCGTCCCTGTATCACCTCAGTTCATACAAAACACGAATAGGTACATATTAATTTTTGTGACGCAATGCGTTCTGCAGGTCACTTTTGTTCTCTTCAATGTTCAATGATAATGAGGGATAAAGATTTTCTATCAATTCTTCTTCACTTAAGTATAGGTATGCAATGCCCTGCTATAATATCAGCGTGGTGACATTAAACACGCCCCCGTCAGAAGTCAAATTACCCTTTGGAACTGTTTTACTTTGTTGTTGTAAAATCTTAAACGACGGGAGATGAACGAAGAAATACTTCCCCGAGCACATATGTTTGTTGTGTGTGTCGTATAAGGACGCAGAGGTGTCTGATTTATAGCATAAGGGTAGAGAAGCTTTCTATAGACATGTGCGTCGTACTAACACTCTCTAAAAGCCCTTCGCTCTTAACATTCCCGAATAGAAATAGGAAACATATTAATCAATATTAATAAAAAGCAAGCGGCATTCCGCGTGAGTTAAATGGCAATAACTCAAAGCAGAATATTGTAAATAACAACATGCCTTAGCTTAAACTCTAAACATCGCTTACAGTTGGAATCCATAATATCTTAGCAATCAAATTAAAAAGCAAATTTCATAACAAAATATGATTTTATTATATCAATTAAAATTCGATCGCGGTCAGTGTAAATGCTGACATCATCAAAATATCTTCTATCGGCTAATGAATGAACACAGTTATATATTTCCATGAATGATATTTTTCAATGTAAATAGTATTCTCGTTAAAAATATCATGATTTTCCATGAACTTACAAACCAGAATTAAACAAAACTTGCTTTTAACTTGCATATGTTATAATTCAAAAATTATTGTTTCCAGAATCGACCTTGTCAAGGTCATCACAATAATGGATATTTCGTGTGTGCACAGGATAGTTACAATATGAAAGCACACTAAGCTGCATCATTAAAAGCTTACAACTTCTACTCGGCAAATAAATCTATAGAAATTCTATAAATTCACAAACACGCGAGTCCGATGACTTAGACATATAAAAGAGGAACATGAAGTTAGGTTTGACAGTCGGCAAATAATCTCTAAGAGGCATTTCAAAGTCATACGGAAACTACAATCGCCACGTGCGTGATATACCACTCACATTAATACTGAATCGGGCTTACTCAAATTGTAAAATTGAACGACCTTTATACTAGATCTACCTTTCATCAACTAGGTGTAAGGTGTAAATTTCCGATGTTATGATATATATACACAAATATGGCATTTTTTAAAGAGTGAGGGGATGAGGAGGGAGGATATTAAGTTCTGATTTTTGGGAAAATGTACAATTTTCAACATCACCTTGTAAATGTTGATGATTTAACCTTAAGGATACAAGGCTTCTACAAGGCAATGCTGTACTGTATCATACTTTAATTCGTAAATGTTGATGATTTTACCTTCATGATACAACGTTTCGGCAATGTTGTTACTATATCAGCCTTTTATTCATACGATGGCGTGCAAATTTTATGTAGCTACAGACTGATTTATTGACGGTCTCTTAATGTACAAAGTTCTCAAGCAATTACAAAAATGGCCTAGACACATACATACTGCTGTAGTGTAGTTACTGTTGGTCAGCACGGTACCGGTTTCACAGTCGCTTCAGATTCGTGTAAGTTTATACAATGTGTTTATCTGTAGTGGATATGTAGTTTACTGATACATCATACTATTGCATACTAACGCCCTTCGTAGATAAAAATGAAAAAAAAAATACTGCAGACGATGTTTAAAGTAAGTTATCAAAACGAACATTCGACACAATCGCAGAATTCAAATATGACAGAAGCCTCCAAGAGCTGTTAGGGTTTGAATGAATTTCATAAAACCAAGAGCATGTGTGTGAAGAGTTTTCCGGCAATTAAAGCAAACAGCATAATCGTATTTGCATAGCACTTGTGGTGTCAATCATTTGTTTTTACGTACGAGTGCGGTCACATGATAGACAGATTAAGAGTACAGCCCGTAATTGGAACAGGCCACCAAGTCACCCCCCCCAACCCCCCCCCCCCCAAAAAAAAAAAAAAAAACAAAAAAACAAAAAAACAACAACAACAAAAACCAACAACCTTACATTTGAATTGATCAGGTATTACATACTGCCTGAAGTATGATTGTCCATATCGACGCATGCGTCGTATCGTTTACAGCATTACGTTTTTGTAATGGGTTCTTTACTGGAAATATGAAGCGTAGAAAACACCAGTTCTTAAATCATTCAATAGTCGATTGAAATATCGACTAAAAGAGCATTACATCATCGGCAAAAGTTAACGGATAACCTGCTATGCCATTTAACGTTTAAAGATACAAGGTCCGTAGGCTAACGACGGTATCAGTTTCAGTCGTCTGGAAGCTCTAACCCTGCGGACGATCATTATCATAATTGTTATTTTCTCAGAGAATTTCCATAATTGCTGGTGTTGGTAAAATAAGCCTTTGGTCTAGACACAGAAATCCGTACGCTGATAAATAAAGTGCAGTGCCAGAAGCTAACCCAAGCTTGAAGTCAGGGACACCATCAGCTATATTGCGGACAGTTGCTAAATTGCCTAACACCACACGGAAGATAAAGGTGCTTTGTTTTTGTCGTGTTGTTCCATGAGATTTCTTTATGTTTATAGCATGTGTTGGCTGTTTAATGATCACTTATTCATCGGATTACATTGTGGCGGTGATTAAACCCAAAATAAAATTCCTATTTAAAGCGATAGAATCAAACAACTCCTGTTTTGTTTATATCTGTTTTCTGTCTCTGAAAACCTGTATTCAAATAGTTTGTATAAATTCTCACTGTTTTGGACACTTGCTACGATTGCATTTTAAAGAGCCAATATTCAACGACCATGACATGCTATAAACGTGATCATTTTGTCGGTAATCTTAATTCAGCGATGCTTTTTTCTTGTGAAATAAATGCGCTAAAATGTTATTGTGATAATTGCACTTTTTGATCATTCTGGTATTGTTGTTTCCCGAAAATTAAAAAAAAATCCGATCTTGAATATTCTACATAACTCAACGATTCCTATTGATTCTCTTTGTGTTCATCCATTGTATATTTAATATCGGTTCTTTCCGGATGTGCCAGCATCCCAGTGAATGATGAAAAGGAAAATAAATATTTAACAGATACACATAGAAATATCTATTGGCTAGGAAAACGATCACGCATCGCCTTATATGTATGTCAATCACGTCAAAAGGGAAGAATGAGAGCTGCCACATATTATGGTATTCTTTCAGAAAATATATTTCAGGAAACACGCCATGTTGAATTATTAATCTCCACACCTATATAACACGTCTGACTTGGCTAGACATTGTTTAAATATTTGGAGAAATTCTATTCCGTTAAAAATCTTTCCTGTAACTATCTGAGAGTTTCGATGTCCAGACAATTGTCCGTATAGCTGATTTCAGTATAAAACTGGCCTCTGTACCCCTCACATCCAAAGACACCGAGGTTTTTGACCTGAACTTTTGAATGGGTCTGTTGTTTATCGTTTTCCTCATTCTCTCTTTTTTATTTTGAGTCGTTGTGGAAGTTGAATGAGAATCGTTTGAATGGTGTTCTGACAAGATATACATGAAACAGATTTACTTTACATACGCCATACTCTTGAATATTGGTCGAAATTTACCAAACTTTTATAATACATAATGTGCTCTCATTCATGCGTTTTATGGATATAGAAAATGACATGCATGCTGCCTTGTTTGTGGTCGATATGTCAATTCTAGATAAGATTAGGCGATGTTTGAGTGTTAACTTATGATACACAGAGGCTTTGATTCAGTTCCAGACATGTGCAGGATGTGGATGTTTAAAGAAACATAGGTCCTTTGTTTAGATCTTGAATCAAGCGCTATGTTTTCTTATCATTGGTACAGTATGCGGCAGCAATCCTTACAACATGTTGAAGGTTTATAAAACTTATTATCCTTAAGGCGATTCTTTCAGTAAGACAAACATCATTACTTTCATCTCTGTTACTTGGACAGTTAGTTCATTGAGGAGGTATTGTGATAAAGCAGTCTACAGACAAACACGAGTATGTTACATTGACATAACCTTGGTAATAAGTCTGATGCTTTAGACACATTTGCAACGGAAATGCATAATTACAGGAAGGCTGGATGGCCGATTGGGGA